AGGGCAGGGAACACTCTTTGTGCTTAGGGCAGAGGCCACGTGGGATGAAACAGAGTTTGATTTGTGTAATCCAACCATGTCAGACACCACAGATAGCTCTTAAAAAAAAAAAAAAAAAAAAAAAAAAGCCTTTTACTGGCTGGGCCTCTCCCCAGGCAAGAGGCTGATACTATCACATCTAGTACATCTTTAGACCTGGCCAGACATCAGTTGTTCCCGGCCTCAGACAAGTGGGTTATCTTGCAAGGCTGACTTTTCTGTAGTCAGTCCAGTGTATACTTGTTGAATACCTACTGTGGGTCCCTGCATGCTCCCCGTTATACAGGATAAATGCCCATCTAGCCACAGGGCCTGGCACACAAGTCCCCACTGACCGGCACACTTGTCAAAAAACTGCCTTCATCCCCGGACCACAGCAAGAAAGTGGGACTGAGTTAAAGACAAACCTTAGGCCTCTAATGCCTGGTTGTACTCTCTCACCTGAAGACAGTATTATTACCCACCATGTTTGAACCCCTTCCCTTGGGCATGCACCTCTATTCTTTCCCTCCATGCCTTGGTCCCACCCTCTAGACTGAATTTGAACACTTCCAGTGTAAGCTTAAATTGCCACCAGCTTCCCATGCCTTGTAGCCCAGCCCCTTAGCCCTGAGGGCACCTGACGATGCATTCTGGGAACTCCACTCTTTGCAAGTTCCCATACTTTTGTTGTTGTTGTTGTTAATCCTCACCTGAGGATATTTTTCCATTGATTTTTGGAGAGAGTGGAGGGGGAGAGACAGAGAGAGAAACATCGATGTGAGAGAGACACATTGATTGGTCGCCTCCTGCACAGGGATTAAGCCTGCAACCGAGGTACCGTGCCCTTCACTGGAACCGAACCCGGGACCCTTCAGTCCATGGGCCGATGCTCTATCCTCTGAGCCAAATGGACTAGGGCAAGTTCCCATATTTTGAGAGGTGCTCAGGCCGAGTCTGGGAGAGCTGGGCCTTGCTCTGGGGTTTGCACTCATTAATCTGAGTTTATGTGCCTGCTGCCGTGCCAAGAACCCGAGAGCCCGAGGCCAAGCACACTCTTTCCTGGTTCCCTCTTCCTTCTCCCCTTCTCCTCCACACCCTCTCCTGGAGGGATCCAGGTTCTCCGGCGTTCTGGTGTCTTTGTGTACTTCATCCTGTTGGGCAAAATGTTCATTTCCTTCCTCCTCACTGTTTCTCTCACTGGCCTCCCTTCAAGTCCTTTTTTCTTTCCTTTCTCGTCAGGCCCTTTTGTTTAATTTTTTAAAAAAAATATTTATTGTTGCTCCTCAAAATCAGAGCATTCTTTGATTCTCTTGGTGTGAGGCAGCTTGGTTTCCTTTCAGAAAAGGGCCTTGTGAGGCTGCAACTGTGGCAGGAGAAAGCTAAGTGGAGTATGTGTGGCATCTGCTTATGCCCAGAGGAAGGGCTGCCGGGGCCGTAAGCAGGTTCCCAGGCTGCCCTTGCTGGCCTCACGGCTGCTGCCGCCACTGACTTAACTCCGTACGGGGCAGCCTGTCTTCAGGCCCACCCAGACCCTCCACCAGGCTAACTGGGTTCAGTTGTTGGAGCTCTGAGTTGTAATCTGGAAGATAATTGTGGATGACAGACTCCGAATCACCAAACCTGAGGGCTGGAAAGCACCTCAGTGGTTTCCAAATGCCTGTCTGTGGCCTGGCTGCTGTAGAGCCACCTGGGCAGGGTTTACCCCTGAGTTGGCCAAGGCATTACTCCGGTGGGAAGAGGTTGAAAGAGCATGAAGAAAACACCAGGTCACGAAGTGTTTTCTTCTAGGCTATAGAATCATGGGTGATTTTATTTTCTCCTCTGTTCTTTTTTTTTTCTTGTGTTTTCCAATTTTCTACAGTTAACATGCAATTATGTTTATGACTAAAATATACAATAAATGTAACTTCTGATTTTTAAACTATCACTCAGAGAGCTTGTTTAGTATACAAATTCCTGGGCCCCTTCCCTGGAGATTCTGACCCAGTCGGTCTGGGTGAGGCCCGGGGATTCTGTATTTACAGCAGCACCTCAGTGGATTCTGTGATGCAGTCAGGTTTGGGAGCCTGCATTTCACTTATAAGGAGAGTGAGGACTCACAGACAGGCTGGTGGGAGACCCCAGCCTACAGCCAGGTCCTCTGATTCCTGGACCAAAGCCTTCCTTGCCAATTCATGAGCCCTGAGATCTGTCACAGGCCGAGCCACAGAACCTTGATCCTTCCTGAGGGCGGGCCTGCGTGCCCACCTGTCCTGGGCCGGCCTGTGTTTCCCAGAAGACCCCAGCCTTCCCATCTGACAGCACTCTCTGGCCCACAGCTGTTTCTGGGTCCTCCAATACCCCCGGTGATGGGAGTGAGCCTGCTTGCCTTGCCTTATTCCCAGAGACACAAGGCAGCAGGTAGCCTCTATTAGAGGCATTGAGGGAGAAACTGAGGCAAACAGAAATGGTACTGGACCAGGTCCCAAATCATGGAATAGTGATCTCCCATCCCTGGCTGAATTGCTGTTTGGAGACGATTTAGAGAAGGGAGAATAAAGGGTTAGATTTGGTATAAAGAAAGGCAGATATGGTGGTACTCGGAGCATAGTGACAATGGGTAAGGACACAGCTCTAGGATCAAATAGTCTGGACTCAGTCCAATCCCTGACACTTACCAGCTATGTGGCCAAGGTACCTAACTCTTTCAATGATCTCATCTGTGAAATGGGGATGATCATATACACCTGTCTTATTGTGTTGTTGAGAGGACCAAAGGAGTTTAATGTATGTGTAACTTGTCTCAGAGTCACCCGGGGATCTTCTTATAGGTTCATGCTCTGATTTAGTAGATGTACATTTCTAATAAGCTCCCAGATGCTGCTGAAGCTGCTGGTCCATGGACCACACTCTGAGAGGAACACTCAAAACAGAGCCTCGCCCACTCAGTGTTACTATTATTGTTATGATCACGGCTGTTATTGTTACTTGGCCTTTTTCAAACAGGCACCTGAGGAGACTGGGGATTCCAGCAGACTGGCCTCTCCAGGGACCGGTCTTTTCCTGGAATCTCCTCCTGTTCCAGCACATGACCTTTGCACCTGTCCTGGGCAGCAGCTGGGGGCGGGGGTGCTCTGCCCAGCTGCCGCAGGCCTGCGTCTTCAGGTTTGCAGCTGAGTCCATTTTCACGCTGTTTTACTATAACCAGATTTTGTTAAGCCGGGTGTGTTTCCTCTTTTTACTCATCTTTGTTTACAAAACGCGAGGAAGCTATCAGTCTCCCCAGCCGCTGCCAGGCCTCCTCAGTGGCACGGCCCGGTTTTCCTGCCCCTCCCTGCAGTAGTTATGCCTCCACTTTGTTTTCCAGGCCTCCTTCTGCAGGGGAAAGAGTACTCTTGCCACAGGCATGGGGCATTCTGTTCTCCTGGGTTGGCAGGGCTCTGAGGTCAGCCTGAGCTGACACCTCACCTCTCTTCTCTTAGTGGCCTCAGGCAGAGTGAAAGGGAACCCAGCAGCCTGCGTGCTTGTCCCAGGCCAGATGTACGAAGCTCTGGGAGTGCAGGAGACCTGGACTCACTTTCCAGTTCTGCTACTGACTTACCCTATCCCCTTCCTATCTGACTAGTGGTCTCCTGGTGGCGGCCAGGGCTATGTGGTTAAAGACAGCCCAAGAGCCCTAGCTGGTTTGGCTCAGTGGATAGAGCGTCGGCTTGTGGACTGAAGGGTCCAGGGTTCGATTCCGGTCAAGGGCATATGCCTGGGTTGCTAGCTCAGTCCCCAGTGAGGGGCATTCAGGAGGCAGCCAATCAATGATTCTCTCTTATTGATGTTTCTATCTCTCTTTCCCTCTCCCTTTCTCTCTGAAATAAATAAAAATATATTAAAAAAAAAAAAAAGCCCAAGAGAGGGCTCCAGCTCCCCTGGCCCTTGCTGCCTGGGCCCCTGCAGCAGTACAAGTCCAGCCTGTGCTGGTTTCTTTCTGCACACTAGGTTTTTATTCCCCTGTCCACCGAGAACCCTGTGGAGAGGGCCCCAGCCCAGTCCTGCCCTGGCAGACAAAGAGAGAACAAAGACCGCCTCTTCCAGCACCCCTCCGTCCCCCCTGGCCTCTTCTGGCCCCAGGGAAATGTACCTGTGTGGGTGGGGCACCAGCCACCATCCTGTGAGCCACTGACCCCTGACCTTTGCCCCCAGCTTCCCTGCCTGACAGTAGGACCTGGGATGACCTCCAGAGAGTAGTGTGCATTCTTTGTTTTTGTTTTGTTTTCAAGTATGTTCTTGCTTAACGTTTAATTGGCTCCAGTCAGTAGGAAAGCGCTCCAAGAGGGGTTATTTATGGCTTACTGTCAAGAGCAGCTATAAAAAGGGCAGGCAGTGCTGAGCTGGAGATGCTGGGAAGGGAGAGAGGGCAGGCGCTCAAGTGTGTGTGTGTGTGTCTGTCTGTGTGCGTGTTTGCACTGGATGAAATCAGATTTTTGCTGCCTCAGCAGTGTGGTTTAAATTGAAGATTAACCCTTTGACCTTCACAGTGTCAAATCACTTGCAGATGGAGGCTCCCCCCTTTTCCCCCTTGTTCTCTGTGTTACTTTGGAGTGGGGGGAGGGAGGGGGGCACTTCTCTTTCTTTCTGAAGAAAGTTTGTTGTTCATGCAGCTGAGGTTTGAGGGGCTCAGGAGCCAATCTGATTAAAAGCAGCACTTGGCTAAACTCTGGAAAATCCTGCAAGCAGGGGAAAAAGTTTAATCCTCTTGTGCACAGTGCAGAATGAGCCTGGTCTTTTCTTTTTAATGTTAAAAACTGCAATTGTTTTTGGAGGACTCAGCTATCTCCCCCTCATCGCCACTTCTCTTGCCTCCCCCCGCTCCCCCCCCCCGCCCCTTTGCTGTACTGATAGGATTAAAGTGCCGCCCCAGACATGTTGATCTAAACTTTTATTGGAAATGATAAGAAGTCATCTAAGGCTGCGTTGAGGAGTCACGTTGATTTTTCCCCCCCTTTCAGCACCAGCAGAACCGAAATCGCATGTGGTGGCAGTTCCTCCTCTTCCTACATAACCTCGCCTTGAATGGAGATGAGAACAGGAACGGGGCCGGTCCCAGGTGAGGCTGGGCTGCCCTCTTCGAATGGGGCACCGCAGGAAGGACTTCGGCGAGGACTGACACTGTGTCATGTGAAGTTGTTTTTTGTTGTTCTTACCTTAAAATTTTATCTCTGTGTGTAAATAAGACATGCCCAAGTGGGACCTTTCCCCTGTTCAGGACCTTGACCAGGAATGGGGGCCTTTGTCAAACACTGTTGAAGTGGAGGCTGATGAGTCTCTGATGGTGGGTCCTCCCAAGGGCTCTGACAAGCAGATTCTTCAGCCCGCGGTTGTTGAAGATGGCCAGGTAGTGATGTTCGCTGGCCAGAGGACTGTAGTTTAGCCACAGGAACTCAGTTAAACCATACGAAGCTGGATTACACTCCTGCTCCCACCAAACCTGTCAGCCTTCCGCCATGGATGGAGGTGAGATCCGGACAGTCACACTGCTTCAACGCACCAGGGCTGTGGTCAGGGGCTTTCCAGCTGAGCATGGCCACTTCGCTAGACCACTCAGCCTATATCTGGGTTCTCCTTCGGCCCAGCCGGTGCCCGCTCCAAGGGCTCAGGGATTCTCGCCCAGCCCCTGTCATCTCCAGCAGACCTCAGGGAGGGTTGGGTTTCTCCAAGGACCCCTCACACATGCCTCAAAATGAACCAAACTTCTGTGTCGGCCTCAAATCTGACTTGGTCCCACTTGGAGGCCCCAGGATTGATCCTGAGGTACAGAACCACTGCCACCTCTGGCTTCCTAGAACTGGCTGCCTGTCAGCCATGGATGAGCCAAATAGCCAATCAACGTGCTGTCATCAGCAGCTTGTGCCTTTGTGGGCTCTTCTTTCCAAAGAACCAGCAACAGACTGCATTCCGGCCCCAGATCAGCACTGTAGGGCATGAAGGGGCAGCACTGCAGTGGGACTGGGAAACGCGGCCCTCCCTCCTGGAAGAGTCAGCCCTGGAGGAACCCAGACCACTTGGTTTCCTTGGAAACAACATACCTCCTCCTCCTCATTCCCATTCCTTTTTCACACCTACTATGAAAGGTAGAAGGAAGAAGCCAGCACAGTGACTTTGTCAGCGGACATGTGTCTTTTCGAGCAATAGACAATGATGAGAGTGCAGAACCGTCAGAGCTGGGTGCACGTCTCCTGTCTTCCTTCAGCTCCCAGCTAGGCCAGCAGGGCATGCTCTGGCACTCAGCAGGATCGCAGCTGCCTCCGAACTTCCCTTCTCGCCCTGCTGTGGCGCTAATGGCGAGAATTTAAAGCAGCCAGTCAGCCAGCTCTGACCAGACAGAGAATTTGATTAACAGAACCTGTTAACAGATACCTAGAAATGAAATGATAATTTTTGCATATGTAGGAAAAGATAACATTGGTGCTAAACAGAGAAGCAAGGCCCAAAGAAAAGACTGCTTTCCTGGGCAGCGAAGACCCCGGGGCTACCCAAGGAAATCGGAGAAGTCCAGAGGAGGCTCTCACATCTGAACAAGCCAAGGCTCCTCCAATTCTGCCAAGAGGAGGTCTCAGTACTGTTGAAGGAAGCCTTGATCCCTGTATGTACAGTTGGGAAGGTTCCCTGCACAAGGGCACCTGCAGAGGAAGGTGATAGAGACTAAGGTTGAGCTCCTGCTCTGCTCACCAAGTTGTCTGCCCCAGTGCAGGGCTAAGTCTTCCCAGAAGAACTGGTGCCTTTGTATGAAGGTGCCCTATGGGCTCATAGTGACCCTGAGGAGAAGGACCTCAAACTGTGCAAATGCCTTTGTTTTGTTCTACTTAGATGTTCTGGAGGTATTACCTTTTCTTGGCCAGAATTATATTCTCAGGGTGTGTACCATGGTTTGTCTGCTAAGGAGATGGGTTCTCACTTACAAGAAGGAACCCAGAGAACAGGCATGAGGACTGGCTCTGGAACACGCTGACCGTCGTGAAGTTCAGCCTCCCCTGCGTGTCATATCATTCATGAGGTGCTGAGGGCCTGGTGTCTTCCCCTCCCCTGGACCAAGGCTATGACAGGCAGCGGCTGGTATATGTGCTGGAGTGGAACACACAAGAAAACCACGATTATTTCTACCAACCAATTTTTAACCTCTCTTGGCAGACTTTCTACCTGAGCTGAGTGAGAGAGCAAATAAATGGTCTAGACTTTGGTGCTGAGGCAAAGCCATCCACTTCAGGGACCCTGCCAGGCCCAGGAGGGCCCGTGCTAAGAACTGAGCCCAGAGTTTGACAAGCCCATCTGAACATTGAGCCTGGGGCCTGGGGGAAGATGGTCCAACCGCACTATCTCCATCTTCTGTGAAGCCAAGAACTAACTCACTATGTTAAGTGAGCCAGGGCAACATTTAAAACCTCCTTCCTTTCCCATCCCCCCAGAAAACCAAGGAGGTAACTCCCAGAATAGCCCTAGGAGAGAGGTTCCTCCCGGCTGGCTATTTTCAATTGGCCTAGTGATCTAGGTCCCGCCCCTTCCCTCTGCCTGGTGAGTTGATCTGAACATTCCTCAAGTCCAGCCTCAGGAGACATGTCCCTCCCCCTGGGCCCCTCTTCCCACCCCCACCCCCAGAGGCTTGGCTGTCTCCTGTGAGGGGGTGGAGAATCCGATTGAGAGGGAGGGAGAGTCTGACCTGGGTCCTGACCTGTAACCAGCTGAAGACTAGTGGAGCTTTTGTGGTTTGCTGATGGATGGGGGTGGGAGAGGGACTGGAAACCTCCCTCCCCGTAGCAGAAATGCCCTGGAGGAGGGGAAGCCTGCTATTCAGGGTCTAAACAGCCCTTCCAATTCAGAACCCCAGAGGAGGGGTTTCTGGAAGCCTATGGACAGAAGTGGGGAGGCAGTCCCCCCAGGCCAGACATCTGACTGCTCCAGCCGGTTGCAAAGTCTGGGCTGCTGAAGAGCTGTCCTGTGGCCTTCCCCTGCTCAATCCAAGGCACGAACAGATCACCTCCCAGTGACCTCCTCAACCCCCTAGGGGAGTAGGTCTGTTTTCAGAGCTTGTGCGGCAGGCACATTCAAAGTGCTCAGAGGGGCCCAGCTGACTTGTCTCACTGACTCCTGTGGCCAGGCCCTGTCCAAGGGTGGCTCCTGACTGGTCATGGCAGGGAGGGGTTGATTGGGATGGCCCATCTAGGTCCTCCATCTGCCTGAAGTCTTCTGGGTGTAGCTTTTGGTCATCTTTTACTGTCCTAGGCAGCAAGGAGTACACTGCCCATGAAAGCTTGCCTGTGGGGGGACTTGATGAAGAGGGAGTAGGGAGAGTAGAGAGCAGCAGAA